TAAAATAAAGATAGGCATGTAAAAATGTAAATCTAACAATAAACTAAACGAACATGCCATAGGTCCAAAGCGTAAAGAAAATAAACAATAGGCCTTTTCCATAAAAATTTCATTTCTAGGCACCTCAAACCTATTATAACCCAAGTGCTACATAGGACCAATATGCAAGTTTTCAAAATTACATATCCACTGTAAAAACAATACAAAATAGCCCTAATATGTAACTGGACTAAAATGAAACACGCTGAAAGTTAGGAGACGAGATTAGCATTAAAAAAAAACTCGAATTGGGGACCACAACAGAACAGGTTGAAGCTACAAGGGCTTAATCATCTATTATACCATTCTCCCTAAAACACGGATTCTCCCTGCCCACTAAACGCTGCCGTTTTGGTGTTTCCCGAAGCGATGCCGTTTTGACATATGATTATATGGGATATTTAGGGTAAAACCTAAACCTGATTCATTCTCACTCTCAGCCTCACTAACTAGACCCCGCCGTTCTCCACTCTTCTCTCTATCACTCTCCTTTCTTCTCGCCTCAAACCCTAGACGAACACCCCCCAGCTACCATGGCCACCGTGGCCTACGCCGCCTAATGGCTCCGACGAGGAGCCTAAACCTCACATGACCCTGTTCCTACCAAATGCCAACCTAAAATCGAGATCTAAGACCAAACTAACCTTGCAAATACCCAACCGACTTTATCCTCTAATATCCTTACAGAACCACGGCCACCGTGACCCTTTAAATCCGAGTCTAACCCCCTCAAAACTCAGACAACACAACCCCCATCCATGCAATAACCATACCCATAAGCTGAAAAATCTTACCCTTGATGACACAAAGAGGTTCGGGTTCCAGGCGGTGGTGATGGTTCTCCTCTCCGACTCAGGAAGGTATGGGTTGTGTGGTTTTGCTTTCTCCAATTTTTTTGGTTGGTGTTGATTACTCTGATATTTTCCTTTTTTTTCTTTCCACTGATGGTTCTTGGTTCCGTGTTCTCTGCTTTTCTTTCTGTTTTTCCCTATTTTCCTTTTCTTTCTTTCTTTACGAACATTTTGTCACCGATGATATATGGTTTGCTCTCTGCTTTTTATTCGATCTCCTCGGTTTTTGCTTCCTCGTGTTCTGTTTTATTTTGTGTGCAGTCCCCCCGGTTTGGACATGGTGAGCACGGGCAAAGGTGGTGGTGGCCTCGGTTTCAATGGATGGCCGACAGGCGTGGTTTCGTGCTATCCCGAGGAGTGCGTGGTGGGTGTTGCGCACTGTCTCGGTACTCTGTGATCATTGAGAGCCGTTGGATCTCATCAGATCCAACAATGTAGGCTTCGGCGGCGCTGGGTATAGGGTAAAAACCCTAATGGTCCTTTGATCTGGACCGTTAGATGAGGAACAGATACAACGGTTCTGGGCGAGCGGCGGCTGGGCACTGGTGACAGGAAACCCTAACGGGCCTAGGGTTTCTCCAAGTGGGTTGTAGCACTGGGCTACCGAATTTGGGCCTGCCTGGTTCGGTTTTGGGCATGTTGTAACATTTTTTCCTTAAGTTCGGGCCTGTAAAAATCAAATAACATGTTTAGTGTGTTTTTAATTATTTATTTATTTAATTACTTAATGCATATATATATATGTTAATAATTACTTATAACAATATTAACAATAACAATAAACTCGTATTAATCATCGAATAAGACCCCGGACAAATCGAGCATCTACAATTATGTCAATAAATCATGATTGTTTGAGATTTCGATCTTCAAAGTTATTCTTCTGAAAATATTTTGTGTCTTTCAGAGATCTCTAGGCATAAGAAATTCAGAAATACGTTGGGTCCTCTAAAGTTCATTTGGTACTAGATTGATGTACGGGGGACTTCCCTTTTAGAGGAGGTACAACAGGCATGAAGCTCTAAGGGCACCGCTTCTTTAGGTTTACATGCTACCAATTCCTTTATAAGCTGAAATCACACAAGTCATTAAATTCGAATGAACTTATAAGCTGTGAATGTATTAAGCCGCTTGTTAGAATTTTTATAATAATTAGATGCCACTCCTTTCACACACAAATCTTGTATGATTTGATTGAAATTTTAATTTTCAAACAAATAAATAAATGGGTCAATTTATGTGTAGCATAAATATATAGAGATAAATATTAAAATTACGCATGACTTTTTTTTAAAAATTCGGGGTGAATATAAGGTATTGTTCTATCAAATATTGTATTATTTCATTGGAATTCTAATTAGGGTAAACTACATAAATGACCACATGATTATGGGTCATGTCGCGAAATGACCACCATTTTCAAATTTATGACAATAATACCATTGAACTATTTAAATGGGTTCAAAACGGCCACACGACATTAACATTTAAAAGAGGTGTTCACGTGACATTTAAAAAATTGGTATAATTAGGGTACAGATCCTTGTAAAGTTACATATTCACGGTGCTGGCATCCTACTTTGTTTTCTTCCATTTTGGTCACTACTTGTATATGATTTATTTCCTTGGATTTTCATTTAATATAATTTGATCCTGATTTTGTTTTTAATTTTTCTAATGCCTTGATTTGAGCAATAACTTTAATTTTTTTATTATTCTAGAAATGTATTAAATTTGTAGATTAAATCCCATAGATTTTAGAATTAATAAATTTGATCACCAAGATTAACTTTATTTCTTAATTTTTAATTAGGTCCTAATTAGGTCACCAATAGTAACTTTAATTCTTAATTTTTAAATACATCTTAATTTCAATTTAATTTAATAAATTTATTTCTCTAATCAAATTGTAACACATGTAACAGTCTTAAGATTATAATATATATATATATATATATATATATATATATTATCATTAATTGTAATATTAAAGGTGAGTGATATTCGAAGTAAAATTGAAATTATGTATATATAGTGATGGAATATCGGAATCCTGATAAAATATTACGGTATCAAATTAAATATATTTAAATTATAAGAATGAAGTGTTGAATTTAAATTATAAATAAATATATTTGGTATTTTATTTAAAATTAAATACTTGATATACTTAAAATTATCGATAAATATAAATTCTAAAGGATAATATAGTTAAACCAAATGAATATGAGTTACGAATTAATTTATCTAATTTTAAAATTAATATAAAAATAATTCAAAAATAATAAAAGCAGTATAAATTTAAAATGCATTTAAACCAAATAAATGAGTGGAGCCTCATTTGACTAATTTAAAAACTTATAGGAACCTGGAATATATTAAAAAAACGTCTCATATAATACGTTAATGTGTTGTGTCCCTAAATACTAACTGCATCAAGTTTACATAATACATGAATTTGGAAGTAAAAGTCTACGAAGAAGTTGGTGGTAATATTTGACTATGAAGCAGGCCATGACAAAGGAACCCGTTTTAAGTATTCGATACGCCTTTAATATGGAGACGGTTAGGATACGTATGGAGGACGTACCACGGTGATGGGATACAACTAAACAAAGTCAAAGACGTTTGATGCTAACCTAGGAACGTTTCGAGGATGTCATGTGATTATCACATTCGTTATCAAGATTAATTTTGACATTTTTTATTAAAAAATAAAAAAAACACTCATGAGTCGAGCTCAGCCCTTCTCCAAACTCGTTACTTAACTCAGAGATCTCTACTCTCTAACAGATTTTTTTCCTTAATGAAGTTTCTCTCTCTAGAAATGTGATCTTTTTTGTTTTTTTTCATCTCTGTAAATTTTCAGGTCCACTGGCTTAACTATTTTCTCTTTTCTTTTCTGTTTTTCCTTTGGTGAAATTCTACTTAAGGTCCAGAGATGGACGTAGGATTTTATATTGGTTAACTAAAATTCCAGGAGACGAAAACGTATTTTCGAAATATATATATATATATATATATATAATATATATGACAATTTTAAATTTTCGTCTCCCTGGATTTATTCCTTATAAGGTCTTGTGTCTTGTTAGTGGATCTATTCTGTTATAGTTTATTTCACCTTTTATTATAATTTAATCCTTTTGGGATTTTTTATTATTTTTGAAATGAGTTATTTGAATATAAATTTATTTTTAATTTAATGATTGCATTAAAAAATGAAATATATACTATCAAACAGTTAAAAATTCACATATTGGTAAGTATTATAAACCTTTGTTCTATTCAGAATGAGTAAAATACATCTCTAATTGTATAAAAAGAAACAAAGGTATATAAATGATCCATAAGAAATGAACAATACATGGACTTTCTCAAGGATTTATGTTGTTTAATATTGTTTTAGATTTAATTTATTGTTTGAGTCTTGAGATTTGATACTTTAATATTGTGATTTACTTATGAATTTTATTTATGATTTTTTATATCTATTTATAACTTAAAAAAAATTTATATGCCATCCTCGTACCCTTCAATTTTAAAATTAATGTTTTTCGTCCCCGTACCCATATCATTGCAACATAGATATTTGACATGACTTGGCCGACCATTATCCCTTCCATAGAAAGTGATAGCCATTGTTATAATACAATTATTTATTTGTCAACAAGTATTGGCACAAGTGGTTGAGATTTAGGAATTTGAGTTTGTAAGACCAAGTTCGACCGTCACTCTTAGTGGACAATCTGTAAATTCCTATTTAAATCCTAATTGGGTCTTGTATATACCCTCGACCCTAAACTGGGAGAGTCACCCCTTACCTAAACTTTTATGTACCAAAAGAAATACAACTTTTCTTTTAATTCCATATTCCGGATCATTCCAAAAGGGTAATTGAAAGAGAAGGAAAACAGAATATTGGGGAGAAGTAATGAACATCCATGAGTGTTGGTTAAGTATCGTTTCCCATTAAACATTTCCTTCCTTTTAACCTAATTAACACTGCTCCATCCCTATATAAATAACCATTTTCTATTGCCAATTCTCATTACAAATTAAACAGTAGCATTGTGTATATATTTGTAAAACAAAAACCACTTCTTTCTTTGGGAAACAAAGAAAATGAAGTCTGCCATGGTAATTTGCTTGCTTGTTTCTCTTATTCTCAGCTCCTCTTTCTTCGAGGGGTCGATGTCGGGTTCAGGTAAATGAAAAATAAAGCTAAGCTTTGGGTTGATTATATGAGTTTTGTTGTTTGGTGGGTGATGGTATTGCAGATTCTTGCGACTCCAAGTGTGGGATGAGGTGCTCAAAGGCAGGGATCAAAGACAGGTGCTTGAAATACTGTGGAATTTGCTGTGTGAAGTGTCAATGTGTTCCATCTGGTACATTTGGACACAAGGATGAATGCCCTTGCTACAGGGACATGAAGAACTCCAAAGGCGAGCCCAAGTACCCTTAGATGTATCTTTTGCCTTTCTATTCCTATGCTGTAAAAGGTGTACGTACACTAGTTAGAGGGATAAACGTTTTAAGAGTCATGGAAGAATGAGGTCCCAAGACCCATTGTTGAAAATTTACCTGTTAAATATGTACAACAAATTAAATGAATAAATTGGGCCCTCAAATATGTTTTTTTAATATAGTGTTGTTTTCTTCTGATAATATTTACTACGATCCCTCTTAATGTTTTGCTTCTTTGAATCTGTAAGTTTGCATGTAGCTCTCTCTCGTTGAACACGTGTAAATCATTCCATGTCGTTACCTTTTTGAATAGCTACGACTTCAATGAACACGGAAAGAACTAAATTAAAATGAACTTAGACAAGAAACTGATATAGGAGACAGTAATTTTCAAGATTATATATCTATTTCACGAAAATGTTTATATGAGAAAATAATATTTTTACGATGAATAATGGTTGTTTGGTGGTTGATTTTTGATGTTTGCTGGAATGAATTTATAAATTTATATAAATTAATTGTTTCAATTCTAAATAAAAATTCTTAAATTAATTATAATTTTCAATAAAAATTATAATTTAATTATATTTAAATTAGAATTAAAACTAAATTATAATAAATGATTAATTGTGGATATGTTTGTTGAAATATCAACACCAAACATCTTAGTATTTAATTAAGTCTTAACATTTAATTAAGTTTATGTTCTAGTTTTATAAATGCTGATTAATTTTAATTATAAGTTAAATTCTTAATTAATGTTGTGAACATGTTCCTTACTTATATAAGGAAGCTTGATGGTAGCTTTCTAATCACACTAAAAATAATCAAATATTATCTTCCATTTGATTCTTTTTCTTCATCTTATTGTTTAGAGCCTCTGTTGGCCTGTGGGGTGTTCAACAAATGGTATTAAAGCTTTGGTGAGGGTTGTTTAGTTTTTGTTAAAGTAGTATGGTAGTGTGATAGTGAATGTCTAGGAAAGTACTTAAAAGACTTGGTAATTAAATGATCTGTGTGATCCACCTCTCTTTCTTATGAACTTACATGGTGTATTGTTCACAAACTACTTCCACTATTTTATTTAATTTTGTGAGAATTCTTTGTTGATAATATGACTGACTTACATGCTGTCAGCGGAATGAGGAAGCTTAACAATAACCACTACTATACATGGTCAACCTGCATGATGTCATATATACAAGGATAAGACTTATGAGAGATTATCAATGGCAATAAAGCGTAGCAACCAGAAGTAGATGATGCAAATGACATTCCAAGGAAATGGAAGATAAAAGCAGGCAGATCAATGTTTACCCTGAAGATAACAGTGGAGAAAGATATGCTAGAACACATTCATGGAGCCAAAATCTCAAATGAAATTTTGGAAATATTCACTAAGTTGTTCTCGAAGAAGAATGATGCGAAGCTCCAACTTTTGGAGAGTGAGTCATTGTCTATGAAGCAAGGCAATATGACGATCAAATAATACTTTCAAAAAGTAAAGTTGTTATACCGAGAGATTTTTGAGTTGGACCCAACAGTTCCTATTAGAGAAACTAGAATAACAGATCATTATCCATGGTATAAAGTCAGAGTTTAGGAGTTTTGTGACTTGTATACAAGGATGACAAAACCAACCATCTCTTGTAGAATTTAAAATTTTGTTAGCTAGTCAAGAAACGTTAGCTATACAAATGGAATGAGTCTTGTTGGAAAAAAGAAGAATATGTACTCTATACCAATAGAGGCAAACAAAATTTCAAGCAACATGACAATTGTTGGTCCAATAGAAATCGGGGAGGAGGGAGCTCTTGTGAAGGGGGAGGTTCCAAAAAACCATGACAACAATAAAAAATTTGAAGGGAAATGTTACAACTATGGGAAGAAAAGTCATATAGAAAAAGCTTGTCGTTCGAAGAAAAAAACTACGGAGAGTAATTTTTTTACTTCTAACAATGAAGAAGAATGTGATGCAGATACATTCTTCGTATTAGAAGAGGAAGAGCTAACTCTCACGATAACAACTTGTTTTGAATATGAAAATGATTGGATCACTGACTCGGGTTGTTCAAACCATATAACAGGTGATAAAGAAAAACTACATAATCTGTTAGAATATATGGGAAGTCGTATGATGGTCACAACAAATACCTCAACGTTACCAATATCACATATTGGTAACACAATGTTCTCTCCTCATGGCAATAACACTAAGATACCACTTCAAAATATCTATCATGTGCTAAGAATGGAGAAAAAATTTCTTTCAGTAGAACAATTAGATCTTCAGGTCATATTGTTCTATTTGGTCCACAAGATGTGAAGGTATAACATAACCTTGAGATTACAGAAGAGCTAGTGATTAAGGAAAAAAATTATAATCTATCTATGTGATGTCTGCAGAAACCACATATGTTGACAAAACAATAAGGAATAAGACAACAAACTTGTGCTATATATGGTTAAGTCATGTCAACTACTCCAAGCTAAACATGATGAAGATGTCAATGTTAAAAGAAATTCCAAAACTTGAAGTGAGCACAGACACAATATGTGCAGGCTGCCAGTATGGAAAAACACATCAATTACCATATAAAGAGTCCAAACAAGCAAATGGGCCATTAGATTTGATCCACTCGAATGTGTTTGGACTTGTTAAACAAACTTACATTGGTGGGATGAAGTACATCATCAATGATTTTTCCAGATATGTGTGGATTTATTTTATGAAGGAAAATTTTGAAAATTTTCAAAGTTTAAAGAATTTAAAAGGGATGCGGAAGTAGAAGTTGGCAAAAAGATTTGTTTTCTTCGCACAAAATATGGAGAAGAGTACATTTCAGATGAGTTTTTAGACTTTTTTTCAAGAGTGTCGAGTACGTCATCAATTAAAATGTGTTGACACTCCATAACAAAATGGTATAGCTAAAAGAAAGAATATGCCTTTGGTAGAAATATTTCAATGTATGCTTCATGCAATAAATGTTTCGGGTCATTTTTTGATGGAAACAATAAAAACTAAAACTTTTGTAATCAATAGACTTCCTCTGTAACCCTCCGAAAATTAGGTTAGAAGTTTCAGGTTTAATTTTGAGTAAAGTGAAAGCCCATAATGTGTTAAAAGGGGTATTTTTGAATTAGGGTCAAAATAAGGAGGACTAAGGGAGTAAATTACCTATAGTTTGAAACAAAAGTTGATCATTTTTAATTGTGCATATGTTGGGAAGAGGCTTTCTCTTGGTCTTATTCTTTTTCATATTTTCTTCCTTCTTCTTCCTCTCCAAATATTTCAAAGGTAGAAGCTTTATTCCTACATTCTTATCATGGATTTTTAAAGATAAAAAAGGCAATCTCCTCCTCTAGAGCTTCAATTCTAGCCCAAAATCCCAATGTTTGGCCATAATGACCAAAATGAGGGTTTTATAGAGGTCTTGGTTTTAAGGCTTGAGAGTGTTTCTAAGATGTTTGTAAGTGTTTAGAATCATGTTTATACTCACTTAAAGTCTTAAAACCATTTTTTAATCACCTTACTTACTTGCGTTAGTGAGAGAGTTGAGGGAGAGCTTAAAGGCCAAGAACAAGGAAAAGTTGATGTTTGGGTGATCCTAGGAGTCCTTTATATCAGTCGGTGTTAAAGTAACACATAACTAGCACCGCTCTACAACATATAGGTCATTAAACTATATTTGCTTGCTTGTTGTGTTCATGGGTGCAAATATGGATCTTTTTGGGTTTTGATGTTTATACTGTGTTAAAATGGCCTATAATGATGCTATAAACTCCCTTAAAATTAACAAACATTTAAGAGCCTTGGAGAGGATTATGAGGGCTTTTTGGAACCCATTTTCGTGCCTAAATAGGGTAATTCTAGAAAAAGGTATCAGTACTCAGGGAACAATACTGATGTTGTTCTTCGTATAAATTTAAGAAAAAAAGGGTTTTAGGCTAGCAATACTAATACTCATTTAATGGGTATCAGTACTTTAGGGTGAATATCGATACTTTGAAGGGCAGAATCAATATCGTGGACACTTTGCAAATTCCAGTAGCCATTTTTTGTATAAGTACTCACGGGAGTATTGATATCAGGGGTAGAGTATCGATACTCTCATTAGGAGTATCAATACTAGGAATTATTTTGAAATATCAAAGCCATTTTTGGTATCGGTACACGAAGTAATATCGATACCCGAAGTGAAAGTATTGATACTCTCACAAGGTTACTGATACCAAATTTTTTTTCTAAACCATCGAAGTTGATTTGAGTATCGATACTCGGGGCAATATCGTTACCACAAGGCTAGTATCGATACTACCAGGCCTAATCAGTACCATCATCATGGTTTGGATAGAAAACCTAACTAGTTTCAAGAGCATAAAAAGGGGTTAAGGAAGCATCAAGATTTCTCAGATAAGATTATAAGTGAGAACATTAATAATAATTGTTAAAAATTAGAACAATTATTAATGTGACTGATCGCTTGTGAATGTATATGCTAAGGCAAGCTAATCTGTGCAAGTATACACAATTGATGCAAGTAATATAGTAGTGAGTGAGTATAGTCTCCACAGGGATTGGATTAGAAATATCTTTTCACCACAACTAGAACTAATGCCACAAATTAATCCTACTAAGTATTAAAGCTAAGAACTAATATTAAGGAGCTAAGAATAATGATTCAATGATTTCAGACAAGTGCGGTCAAGACAAAGAAAATATGCATACAGATAAAACAAAACAAAACAAGTATTGGATTAAATATAATGCAAACAACCTCACATATTCAGACGTGTCACAGAGCACTGATGCTAAACCATTGTCTCAAAAACAATTATTTTAAGCCCAGAATGAATTATTATGACTCACTAAACTACCCGAAAGGATTACTAGGTATTCTTAGACGGTTGCTATGGCAATACCTCTCAGCGTTAACTATAGACGTTGTCTTAACCTACTCTAGCCTTTATCCCTTTTATTCATTTGAAACTCACTCCTTATCTCTAAGGTAGACAAGTTAGAACTTCACCATCTCGGATTCATTCCTTTGCTCACGTTGATCTCTCTTAATTCTCTCAAATTAAATAATCACTCCATACAAAAGGCTATCTCTCAATGCTCTTACAATGCCCATAAATGTTTTATCAAAATTC